CCAAGCCTGAGACTGAGAGTCAGCAGGCCTTGCTTCGTAGTTGTCGCGCTCTTTGCATATACATCTTCTCCTCTTGTGATTGTCTCTTCATCACACCGATAATGGCCCACAGCTTTCGGCTCTGTACATCTGCGCTGACTCGCTTATTCTCCAGTTCAACTGAACGCGTTGCCAGTCTACCTTTGGGGAAATTCGATGAACTCGGACAGCGGGAACTTTGACTTTCTTGGCCGGTTCCCCCTTCGGCAAGCAAGCCGGCTGCACGCTTGTTGATATGGCCGCCGGCTAACAGACGTACAGAGTTTGTAGGCGTGTGGCCCATTGTCTACACGAAAGAGCAGCGCATCAGGGAATCGGAGAAGATGAATCCTGAAGAATGTACGACCTCGGGCATGGCGAATCGCGTCCGAGTTGCCGATGAGATGCGCATCTTGAGCTGACAAGGCTAAGTACACCATGGGCAGACAATTGCACACTTTTGTTTAATGTGTGTATGTACACATGTTTATGTTTCAGCCAGAGGAAAGTAGGCCGGCATGATGGTTGTGTGTGTGTGTGTGTGTGTGTGTGTATGAATGTGTGCCAACGTCTACAGTCAAATCACTCAAAGTTGATCACATTCAGCTCGCTTGTCAAAAATGACATACGACAGCTCCAGATATCTTTGACTTTATCTAGTCCGGCCGGAACCCGCTCTCGGACTCGAGGCCAAACACAGCCACTGGTGAGCCGGACAAGAGGTGAGACGGACAAAAAAGCGAAACGATCCGCCAACCCGACGTACAGATCTAATGATGCGAAATCCAGACGACCCATCACGCCGACCAACCGACCTCTGGGTCGAGTCATAAGTGGGCCCTATGCCTTGACGCAAGACACAGTTGTGCGCATGTGTATGTGTGTGTGTGTTTGTGTGGGAGTTGTCGCCACTGCTCGGAGTGGCAAAGGCCCTTAAACAACTTGTTTGCTCGGCCGTACCTATCATCTGCTTTCGCACAGTTGTCTATCCCGCTCCTCCTTCAGGTCTAGGAGTATAAAACCTGCGAACATGAATGCGTTTTGATGTATATTCCCAACCACTCACCTGCGGGTCGACTGGCTAATCTCGTCGTTTGTTGGTGTGCTCTTAATACTCCATCCGAGTCGTTCCGTCCATATAGTGGCAGTAGTATCTGCAGTACCTAGAGCAGGGGGCAAAGCAGTGAGATGACCCGACTGTATGTGCGTGTATGTATGCTTGTTTGTATATGTGTGTGTGATTGTCTACGCCCATGTCGGTACGTCGGTCTTGTCTGTTTCGTGGGGAGGTAGGGGCTGGCGTTAGACAAAAGGAGGATGTGGCAGCACCAGTTAAAACAAAGCCTTGATGATAAACTATCCACCCGTTCGACGGGCTGGACGAAGACTTTGCGATATGGTGTATATGAAGTTCAAACCTATTTTTAGGAAAAGACACAGTTCATTTAGTTAGAGCCTTATGTCGACATGTTTGCCTGAGTCAGTCGACCCGTTATCCTCTGCCCGTGGGCCACATTCTGCCGCCTCTACTCGGCGGACCGACTCGAGCAAGGCAGGTACCCTCGAACCGAGCACTCTTTGTCAACGTGGACACATCTACACTGAGTGGTTATTCCGATCTCCAACTAAACCAGCCATGGCAACATCTTAATTAGCATCACATTAGTTATCAAGGCCAACATTTCAACCAACTTGAC